CATTACCCGGCAAGTGAAATCAGACTATTTGCATACTTTATAAGCACTGCCTAACGGTAGGTTTTGCTGGTGCCCTTTCTCAGTAGCTCTGAGGCTCTGGCCTCCTTCCTAATGTGATGCAAAAACCACTTTCCAGCAAAGAGAAGGAAAGGCTGAGGCAAGGGGTAAGAAAGGAGGAATCTTTTATGAAGTTGTAAACGCATCTTAAGCTGAAATTAGGAGGAACACCACCTGGTAGGGATGGAAGTAAACACCACTTGGTGTTTTACCTAATAAAGCTCAGTTCTTAGGTTGAATAAACAATGTATTTATCAGCTCATTGTTAATATAGCATTTTTCCAGCAGAGGGCATACTTTACATTGAAATAGATCTAAAAAGGCCTTCAAGGAGGAGGCTTTTTTTTCATTTGATATTTAAAAAAAAGATTTTTTTTTGGCTTCTAAATGGTATAAAAATATTTTAGTGTATTTAAAGTTCCATAGGATATTAAATATATAATTTCTCAGATTCAGGTTAGTATTTCTGCCTTATTAGTAAACTATTCAAGATGTGATTGTAAAATGAGACAGTTTTTTTTTTTTTCTCCCATGTTTTATAGACTGGTCTTAGACACTATTATTATAAGAAAAGCTGTTCTTTATTGTGTTGTTTACAAAATTAATATCGAAAACCCTATCTTTTAATAGAATATTGTTTTTCTTCATTCCAGCAGTTTCATAGGAATAACTGCTTTTCTTTAAACAGAAATTACCAACATATTCTAATCCATTTCATAGCTACCTTTGATATTTTTCCTAAAGGAAATGACACCTATCTAAAAATTAGTTAAACTTGTTATATAATCTAACTCTAATATTCAAAGCTCATGTAAACAGCCCCTTCATGAGAATTTAAGATTTCTTTCCTTTAAAGATTTATTTATTTGATCTAACAGAATCATTCTCACAATAAAGGAGAAAGTAGAAATTGCTGTCTATATTTTAAAAAGGTAAAAAGGGTAAGTTACTTGTTAGCAGTGGCTGAGCTCAGATCTGGAAACTACTTTGTTTGACTCCACAGCACATGTTCTTTTCATGGGAACGCCCAGTCTCCAATTGACTATTTATCTGAGCTATTTTAAAATCATAGACACATGACTTTAGTCATTAGGACATAAATCCAGATTGATACTGTGAAAAGTACAAAGAATGACACATGATAATCCTATATAATCAACTGCAGGAACTCTTGTTTTATAAATTCAATAGGTTGGTTTAATTTTTTCATTATATAACACTTTTTTGATCTGACTTTTTGGGGGTGTGTGTGTGTGTGTTACATGATTTTTTTAGGTAAATGCATGAAGAAAATCTCTGGAGAAAGCAGTCTCAATGTTATCAAGAAACAAAATATTTTCTTTAATTATTAGAGTTGTTTCCTTTAGTACTTCTGTTTCTATGAAAGAAAAAATGTATCAAATGCATAAGAAATTGCTGCTGAGGAAAAACAAAATTATTTTTGTGTTGAAAAACTGGAGATTTATATATCCTTAAAATGACAAAGATAAAGACCTCTCTGTGTTCACTTTCATTTTAATAGTGATGTCTAGCAGAATTACCGCAATTAATTTTCTCCAAGAAGGATAGAAATGTTCCTCTTTTATTTGTGTGCAGAGAATATTTAGAACTTAGTGTGGATGTTTAATCAACTGTACTCCTATATAAAATTTTTTAAAAAGACAGTGTGGATGTTTAAAAGTAAAGTAAATGAAAGTTTGTGGATGAAATCAGAAATGTTAGTTAGAAAAATAAAATAATCTCTAATTTTTTCCCTGGCAAGATAAGCTACTTCAAGATTGTTAGAAAAATTGACATTATAATGCAAATGTTTGTATGCTTAAAAAAAAATTTGTTCCAGTTAACTCTATGGATATAGTATTGTTCACTTGTTTACAAAGCTTTTAACAGATCATCGGCATGCTTGGCATTGGGCAAAAAACACTGGAATATTAGACTTGGATTCAGAAAATGAGATTCCCAGCTCTGTTCCATTCTAGCTGTGTGATGTAGATAAATCATTTAACCTCTCTGAGCCTTGGTTTCTCACCTATGAAACTGAGGTGATAATAGGTATCTACCACAGAGGATGCTGAGAGCTTAAAATACCATTTACGTCTGTATAAGCACTGAGTTCAGTGTCCTCTGACACATTGTGGGTTTGTTTGCTAAACCAAAATAATCCAGGTAATGAACTTAATTAATAATATCCTATTTTAGTAGTATTTTTCTTTAATAGTCATACATTATTTATGCACGTCGCATTAAGCAGCTCTCTCAAACCTTATATATGCTAGAACAAAGCTTGGGGAAAATCCTGACTTTACATATACAGGGAGTAAGTTTAAGATAATGGTTTAACTGCTAGTGATTAGAAAATGAAATGAAAATCAAGTATAATTTTCATCTAGATTATACTTAGTGAAAAACTTAAAGATACAGTGTTTCATTTTAGATAATATGTTAGTATTTTTCAGTGTTTTTGGCATTGTCTTCAGTTCTCTATACCACATTTAAAACAAGTAAAATGCATGTCAAAATTCACTTTTTTTGCCTTAAAAATCTTGATTTATCTTTCTCGATCTAGAATTATCCTTGCGATGACATTTTCCCCACCTCATTTTACACCTTGCCTTTTCCTTACAACTCATATTCTCTTTCATCGGTACATCTGCCCAAAACGCTCTTCTACTTGACAGTTCTATCCCACACTCGCCTCTGAGCTCCTAACAAGGCATACCTCTGGGAATTGCAAAGTGCCATATTTAAAATCTCTCAGTGAGATATACAGGTTTTCCCGTGTGATCATAAGGGATTCCTCAAATCTGAGTTTCAGAGCTAATCTATGACAACTGATAAGCACAGTATTTTCACATGAGTATATTTGTGTTGTGCTAATATACTTAAACAGTATGCAAGTCCATTGAGAATTTTTTTTTTATAAATTTCTTATCTGCTTTCTTCTAACTTTTAAGAAAGCTATCTCATATATTTAATTGGTATTGGCTGTAATTCCATTACGTTTCCCAAGCTCACTAGGCTTATCCAAGTTGGAAGGGAGATGTCACAGCCACACTTCACAGATGCTCAATGGAATAGTAGTCAGCAATAAAAAGGAACAAATTGCTGATATAAATCTTGACGGTCTTATTCTAAATTAATGAAGCCAAACATAAAGGCTACCTACTGCCTCAATTCATTAATATGACATTCTGAAAAAGACAAAACACTAGGACAAACCAAATCAGTGATTGCTAGGGGACAGCAGCAGGGAAGTGACAATGAAGGGGTTTGAGGACAAATTTTGAGGTTAAACTCATCAAACTTACCACCTAAAAAGAGTGGTTTTTACAGGATGGAAATTATACTTCAACACACCAGACTTAAAAAAAGAAGTAACTGGTTAAAGAAAAAGAAAATACTTGGATTGAATCCCAGGCCCTGGCAATGAAAGCGCTGAGTCCTACCCACTGGACCACCAGGGAATTCCCCAAATATTTTTAAATGACACTCTTGCCTTAGTAATCCACCAACTACTTGAATTTTATTTCATTTTTCAATCACCAACAAGTATATGCAAAGAACTTGTTGTACTTAACATTACTACATGGTTGTCAAATACTGTGAAGTAAATTGTGCTTGCTTCATTTTATTTTTTATTTTATTGAAGTATAGTTGATGTACAATATTTATATGGGTTACATGTGTGCTAAGTCGCTTCAGTCGTGTCCAACTCTTTGCAACCCTGTGGTCTGTAGCCCACCAGGCTCCTCTGCTCATGGGGATTCTCTAAGCGAGAAAACTGGAGTGGGTTGTCATGCCCTCCTCCAGGGGATCTTCCTGACCCAAGGATCAAACCCGCATCTCCTGCACTAGTAGGCAGTTCTTTACCGCTATGGCCACCAACCTTATATAGGTTACAGGTGTACACAGTTTTTAAAGGTTATACTCCATTTATAGTTACTATAAAATATTGGCTATATTTCTTGTGTTCTACAATATATTCTTGTAGCTTATTTTATACATAATAGCTTGTACCTCTACTAGCCCAATTTTAAACAAGGGGAAGGAAGTTAGGCTCATAGCATTGCCAACAGCAAATTTCACAAGTGTTTTAATTCCAAAACCAACATCTGTAACCATCTTTCATTTATTTTTACCAGTTTAGCAATAGTTCTGATCCTTGCGGATGGGATTGCATAAATCCTTGGAAATGAACTGTAAGGAGGGAAGCCTTCCGTTGTGGAAAGGAAGGTTTTTCAAAATGAATTGATGCTGAGTATTGAAAAGAAAAAAGAAACAGTCAGGATTAATAAGTGAAATGTGCCCTTGCCACTTGTATTTATTGTCATCCTTGATGGAAGCTTAGTTTAATTATAAGAAAGAAAAAAGTAATTTCCAACCTCATGTAAGCTTCTAGTGCCCCTGCAATGTCAGGCTTTCCTGATACTCTGAGTAAATTCTTGGTGAGATTTTAGTTATGTGTATCACCGAGTTGCTATTTTCATAACTTATCAGTAGAACCATGTTCTTCATTAATTCATTAATTTTTCTATAACATTAATTCTCTACCATTTGACATGCAGATGACTCAATGTTTTCTACATAGTGCTTATGTTTAAGTGATAACATCAGGCTCAGATATTTTTTTGGACAAAATTTACACAAAGGGGGACAACAAAAGTCGTAACTCCTTACAAATTTACAGGAGCCCTCACATTGGATGGATGGTACTTTAAGTAGGTAAATACATGTATTTGATTCAGTCCCCGACAGCTGCTCATTCATAGTGGAGTTTTTAAACATTGCTTGCCAGAAACTCTTACCTTTTATTTGTGATTGTCTGGATGTACCTTCTCCACTTGCATTGAACTGGATGTACTGTGTGCTGTAGAGGTGTGCAGTTAAAATACGTTTATTCTCAGAAATATTTTTAAAATATTTTAAAATGTTTTCCTTTGCAGAATCAGACACAAGTTTGGCAGAAGGAAGTGTCAGCTGCTTAGATGAAAGTCTTGGACATAACAGCAACATGGGCAGTGATTCAGGCACCATGGGAAGTGATTCAGGTACTGCCTAACTGTTGTGTAAACCTTAAAAAGTGTGAAATAAGACACCATATAGTGGAACGCGTGGGGGCTGTTCATACCCTCCCTAATGTATTTATGCAATTAAAGCAATTCTTTTCTACAGTTGAAATAGTTTTGGAACTTTGCCATTCACTTTCTTGAAAAGTACAACTTACAAGTCTTAAACTCAAGGTCTCTAATTTTGATCCGGTACATAGCTTTTTGGTCTGGCATATGCCACATTCCATAGAACCATGTAATCTATTTTATTTATGTGATCTGTTTTGATTAATTTGACTGCTTTTAAATTATATCCTCAATTTTATACATTTATTTCCAACCCCTGCATTTAAAAAATTAAAATACATTATAAATAAAAGTAATATTGAGATGAGTATGACTACAGTTAATGGCATTTAATGAGTCCCTCTTAAGCATTAGAATATACACATATAGTTAAAAGAATTTCAATATTTATAAACATCCTTTAATTGAGTTTGCAAAATATTTTTGTCACTAAATGAGAAATTTACTAGATATTTCCCAAATTGTTCTTTGTATCAGTTTAATATCCCACCCACTTTCCAGGTAGTGCAGTGATAGAGTCCACCTGCCAAGCAAGAGATGTGGGTTCAATCCCTGGGTCAGGAATATCTCCTGGAGAAGGAAATGGCAACCTACTCCTGTATTCTTGCCTGGAAAATCCCATGGACAGAGGAGCCTGGAAGGCTTACAGTCCGTAGAGTCACAAAGAGTCAGACACAATTAGCAACTGAGCACACACACACAGTAAATAAGAGGGCCTCTTCCCAGTCTCCACACTTCAGCAAAACTTCCTGTTATCAGACACCCTAACTTTGGTCAGTCTGATCCGTTTCATATCTTTTCTTTCTGTCCTTTGAATGTGCATTTCCATTATTATTACTGAGGTGAAATGTTAACCTTAAGAATGGGTGATGGGCCCTTTCATGTCTTTCTAATATTTGTGTGTTTGAAATATTTTATAATTAAAATGAACAAATTAGTGCAAACAAAAATCAGTGTTTTGCAATATGGCCAACAAAGAAGCAGCAGCAAAATAACAAATTAAGAAACTATTCTTCATTCGTTCTGTGACTGAGTTATAGAAAACACTTAGAAAATATTGTGTACTTCAGATTACCCTGCATTGTCTGAAGGATTATAGAAATTTACATCTACAAAAGGCCTCAAAGGGCAAAATAGTTTACATAAAGATAGCCATCTGCCCTAAAAGCTTTCCCAAAGGAAACGTACCACCTCTTTTATTTAAATGCTCTTGTCTCTTAATAGCCCCCAAATAACTTAGAACAAGTTGATTTGAGGAAACTCAGTTCACCAAATGTCAGTCATAACTTTAATGTTAATTAAAAAGGGTTAATTAATTTTCCATTCAATTTAGTCAGTGTTAATATTAAGTTCTTGGCATGAGCATATTTCTGTGGCTTTTATTTGTTTTTTCTGTGCTTGTTATACAACTGTTAAATTTAATAATTAACATTTTTATTAAATGCTATTGATACTAGGACTCAAAATACACTCTAGCTAATATTTAACATCTTTATGATTGCTTTAAGCTTCTGGACCTTCTCCTAATTTTTGTTTGCCTGAGTAAGGGCTTTTCTACAATATTCATTCATTTAATAACTATCTAATAGATCCTTTATGTACAAGGCATTTTGTCTGTTTAGCACTGTTAGCAAATGCAACTATTTACTGATTTTCAGTCTTCAACATGGCATGAAAGTCATGATAAATCTGAATGCAACCTACTTTTGAAAAGCAAATACATTTCCAAAGGCAAATACATTTGAAGACAAACACGTTTTTAAAGGGCAACTCATTGGAGTTCTGGATGGTTAGTGCTTAGAAATAAAGCCTAGTGGATACAAGATTGCATAGTAGATGGCAAAATTCTGAAATCATAAAATTATGAAATTCCTTTCTTTCATGTGCATGCTATAAGTTGACATACAAATTAGTTTAAGATAGGTTTATGTAAACTGCAAATTGTTAAACATGCATTGACTCACTGAAAGCATTGCAGTGTTTGGGATTATGTTTTAATTTCTGAAGTTGACATCAAAGGGACCCCATTCCACACGCCCTTTGTCCACATTTAGAGGTTACATTATGAGGCATAAGAATCGTGGATGTGACATTATGTTCCGTCATTGTATTATTATGCCATAGTAAAGCATAATTAGTGGTACTTTTGAAGTTTAAATATTTTAATTATACCGTGAGAGGCTCTTTTGTTTTTCTGTTCCCCATTCTCAGAGAGATATACTGCTTCTTACAAAGTGGCAATGTTTTTGGCAATGCACATTGGCCTGATAGGTAGAAAGTGTTTCCTTACTATTTTGAGGTAATACCTATTAATATTTGTCCAGCTGGAATGGTATATTTTTCTGAGGTTACATACTATAGGTAAAGGAAAACTTTGTCATTTTCAAACACATGCAGTGACAGACCTTTTCTCTCCAAGAATAACTCAGCTGTCAAAAATCAATGTGAGAATGAAATTTGCCACATGGTGTAGTTTCAATAGAATGTTATTATTTAAACCTTATTTGATTTCATTTTTTGACCATTTGTATGGTATAGTATAATTTTAAGGTCTTCGATAAATACTTGTTGTAGAAGATGGGCACAATATTATTCAAAGCCTGTGCATATTTTAAATACCATTTTTGTTATTGCATTTAATTAATTTTGCTTTTTTGAAGAGAGCCAAAAAGAAGCACACAACAAACAAACAAAACCCAAACATTTTTTTTATATAAAGGAAATTGGCTCCTGGCTCCCTGACACCAGCCCAATTCTCTCCTTCTGGTGACAGAGAAGAGAAAATTCTCTTCTCATTGCGTATGTGGATGTATTCTTCCATTCCTGTGTCAGAGGATGTGATAAGGCAAGAATCAGGCTGAATATTTAGCACTCACCCAGCTCTTTTTCTTTGGATGCTATCCTCACAATGAATCCAACTCTGATTTTTTTCCATATTCACTCTGTGCCTCTCTTTTTTAAACTTGAGGCTACCAATCAAGTTTCCTAGACTTGACTCAAAAAAATATGGATGATATTGAGCTATCTGGGCTTCCCAGGTGGCGCTAGTGGTAAAGAACCCCCCTGCCAATGCAGAAGTCACAAGAGACGTGGTTTAGATCCCTTAGTCAGGAAGATCGTCTGGAGTAGGAAGTGACAACCCACTCCAGTATTTTTGCCTGGAAAATTCCATGGGCAGAGGATCCTGGAGGTCTACAGTCCATGGGGTCGCAGAGTCAGACACGACTGAGCACAGCACCATGATATTCTTAAGTCAGCTTGAATCTTCTGTAAATATAACAGAGGATGGGTTATTATAATTGCTATAGAGTTCAAAGACAAGCGTGGTGAGAAAGCTTGTCAATGTGTGTTTTTAAAAGCTGGTGATCTTGAATGAGTTCTTCCTGACAATCCTAATAAATGAATCAGCAGATGAGCCAATGATAACGTAAATGTATTGCGTATATGTTTACTCATCCATACAGAAGGCAAATTTCCTGCCAGGTTAGTAGATGACTCTTCCTAAGTGGTATTTGGTGTGAATTTTCCTACCTGTTCAGATAGTGCTATCACAGCAAGTTAAAACCCAGTTAAACAGAATCATCCAGTTGCTGAAATGGAACAATCAGCAACTTTTTTTGAAGTTAATGGGATTCTGTTAGTTTAATTTTATTGCACTCATTGATAAGAGAGAGAATGCTTACTTCATGTGTAATGAAATACTGATAAGTGCTGTCATTTCGTTTTTTTCTTGTGATTACATAAAGCAAAAGATGGGCTTTTAAATTGATATAATATTTGTTTTACTGCATTCCACATGATAAGATATACATTTTTAGATCTTTTCCCCTGACTAATATAGGTAAACTCAGTCACTTCTAAAAAACGTATATTTAAACCAAGATATATTATAATGATTTTATTCTAATATTTATAAAATTAATGTATGTTAGTATGTATTTTATCAGTATTTTAAATGCAGAGATCTATGCTAGCTGAAAATATTTTTAATGTATTGTGCTTTGAAAACATGAATATGTGGAGACATACCTATAAGAAAGTGATAAAAATCACATTCAAAGCTAAATAGCAAAATTAGTCACAATCCAGTTATGAACCAACAAAATTGTTTTTCATCTTTCACTGCACACTTACAGAGTGAAGGCTGGCATGGAAAAGGCTAAGCACCTTTTCCCTAAATACAGTTTCTGTTTAATCTGATTGCCTTAAATGGCAAAAATTGGATTGGGGGAACCAGTTTTAGGTATTTGAGATAGATGATCTACATATAGAAGATAGATAGACAGATCTGCTTTTTGGTATTTGGTTTGTCAGGTAAAGTTTTTCACATGAAGGAAAGTAGCATCAGCTTTAGTATTTCTTCACAATAAAAAGTGAGGGGGAATATAGAAAAAGGAGTCCTACTTTCCCAGTCCCTCTTGATTTGTTGGTGAAAGAGAATCGGGTGGGGTGGAATGGTTCCACAAAGAAATGGCAAGTCTGAGGCATTAAGAATCATCAACGGCCAAGCCTGCACCACAGTCATTTCCACTTGGCTTTGCCCACTCTCTGAAAAGACTTCTCTGTGTTGCCCCCTCCTAGTCCTCCATCCTGTTAATCCCTTCCCTCTCCATTCCCATGTCCTACGCCACTTCCAGAGTGCTTGGGCTGTGTCCTGCAAACACTGAGGGCTGACACCCGTTTGGTACAGAAAACAGAAAATGGATTGGTTTGGACCCCTTATGGAAGGAGATTTAAGCTGCAAGGGGCCCACATTCCATTTCAGGCTTCCTAGCCTTAGTTATTTTGTTGTCTGTTTCCTTAGTTTTCTTCCTTGTAACCTCCTTCAGATGATGAGAATGTGGCTCAAAGAGCATCCCCCGAGCCAGAGCTGAATCTCAGGCCTTACCAGCTGGAAGTGGCCCAGCCTGCCCTGGAGGGGAAGAACATCATTATATGCCTCCCTACAGGGAGTGGGAAAACCAGAGTGGCCGTTTACATTGCCAAGGATCACTTGGACAAGAAGAAAAAAGCATCTGAACCTGGAAAAGTTATGGTCCTCGTCAATAAGGTATTCAGACAGCACATAAATAGAACATGTTTATTTTCTATTATTTTTTCTGAAGCATTTGTATAGTGATGTTTGTAACAATGGATCACATGGTTTTAATTAGGAAAAATGTCAGAATGAGTAATTTATTTTAAATCTTTGTTTTTTCAGTTCTCTCTATATTATCTAAATTATTAGCCATTAAAGTAGTTTTTTTTCTCCAACTAATAAAAAAAAAAAAAAGTAGTTTTTTTTTGTCTTATTAAACCAGAACATTAAATCAAAGAGCTGTAACTGATGTATTGTTGTTCAGTTGCTCAGTCATGTCTGATTGTTTGCAACCCTATGGACTGCAGCATGCCAGGCTTCCCTGTTGATCACCAACTTCCAGAGCTGGCTCAAATTCATGTCCATTGAGTCAGTGATGTCATCTTGTCCTCTGTCATCCCCTCCTCCTCCTGCTTTCTATCTTTCCCAGCATCAAGATCTTTTCCAATGAGGCAGCTCTTTGCATCAGGTGGCCAAAGTATTGGAGCTTCAACTTCAGCATCAGTCCTTCCAATGAATATTCAGTGTTGACTTCCTTTAGGATTGACTGGTTTGATCTCCTTGTTGTCCAAGGGACTCTCAAGAGTCTTCTCTAACACCACAGTTCAAAAGTATCAGTTCTTTGGCATTCAGCCGTTTATATTGTCTAGCTCTCACGTCTGTACATGACTACTGGAAAAACCATAGCTTTGACTATAGAGACCTTTGTAGGCAGAGTAATGTCTCTGTTTTTAATAATGTCTCTAATTTATACTGAAGTATAAAGAATGTATTTACTCAGATTTTCTTTATGGTGAACTAGTACTGACTTATCATTGCATATGGACTTAAATGACCTCAAATATCACTGAAATCTAAGCTTAAACACTGTGTTCTAGAGTCTCTTTAACCACCATACATGAGTGTGTGCATGCTAAGTCACTTCAGTCGTGTTGAACCTGTGTCTCTTGTGTCTTCTGCATTGGCAGGTGGGTTTTTACCACTAGCATCACCTGGGCTACCACTTAGGAAGCCCTTTTTAACCACTGACCCTCAGTCAAAAGTGGCAAGTGCTCTTTATTCAAAATTTATATAATTTGGTTTGAAAATGAAGAGAAAATTAAGTGAATATTTGACTGATTTATATCAAGTTTAATAGAGAAATAATTTTCAAATAGTTTATATATATGTAATATATATACATACACATATATCATTCAATGCAACTGAGGTTTTGCTTTAATATTTTTATCTTAGGATTTTTAAAGTCTATCTTCATAAACAGGTATAAGTCTCCATTTTAAACAAAGTCTAGTTGAACTTTATTCAGATATATCAGAGTTTATTAATTTATAAGTTTGTAACTTCGGGATATTGATCTTTACCATTTATTTTATGGAGTAAAATTGAGTACAGTTTCCATGATCAAAAACAATCTTTTTCCCATTACATTGGTGACTAGATTCTCATTTGCTCCTTTACAGAAAATATAATTATAGACTACATGTGTAACTTTCCTCTATTTTTTAGATTTCTATCATGCTGAAAGTTTTAATTGTAGTCTGCTTTTTAGTATTAGAGAAATGTACTCAGAATCCATAATCTTAATGAGTTCTATCATGTAACTCCAAAAGCATTTTGTATATATACCCCAAGCCTAAATATGGTTCCTTCATACTTACATGCCCCCTGTTACAACAGTTTGTGTGTGTGTGTGTGTGTGTGTGTGTGTGTGGCGATGATGATACATTAAAATTTTTTTCCCATGGCTCTTCATATATTTTCCTTATTAAGGATATTATCTTTTGGAATAAGACAAATCTAGGTGTGAATATTATTTCTACCTACCAGTAATTTGATCTTGGGCAAATTATGAACTTCTCTCACTTTAATTTCCTCATTTGTAAAGTGAGTAAAATAATGCTACTCTATACAGGGTTGGAAGT